TTGATTTCCTGAAATGGAATACTCTTCTGATATGAATTCAAAAGCCATAAAAGAAGAGGAGAGAGACAAGTAAAAATTTGTTAGTACAAATGAAATCACATAAAAATATAACTTTATTGATGCTAACAACTTTAGGCAGTTTATAGAACACTAGTTTACAGTGAGATAGAACACCATGTATCCCTGTGTGAGCGTGTTTGGTTCTTCCAGGGAAAATGTGCGTAGGCTTTTAGTAGAACTTAGTCCTACAGCTTCCACCAGAATCAACTCATTTCCACAATGCTCTCTTGGGATATACATAGTTTAAGTGTCATAGCCCAAGTACACCTGACTGACTCATAATATGAGGTTGATCAACAAACTCAAAGGAAACACACTTAAATTCTTTGCTCAGTTTGAAACCATTGGACAAGATAGAGGATCAGACTTCAGGCAACTTTCACATACTGACCTTCTAGGGCCCAAGAAGAGTGTGCTCTTCTGAGGCCATTAGAGGCAATAATTCTGGATTCAGGTGCTCAGGTCTTTTGTCTCCTAGAAATAAATAGTTTTTAAAAGTCAATAAAGGGAACACAGTCTGGTAGTCCATTAGATGATAAAAATGTCAATTAGTCCCATAGGTTCATGACACAAAGGGGGCTGGTATAGATAGATAGCAGCCTCCACCCACCACACAGTAATTATAGGATATAGAAGTCATTGTTATTGGATAAATCCGTGAAATGGTGAAGAGCAAGGGCTGAGATCTGGGAAGCAGGGGTTTCCAATCTGGTGCCATTTTGTATCCATTGAGTTTCTGATTCTTGGGGAACAGGCTTACAGAGGTGTGTTTCCCACTGGGGCTGAGTATGTATCTCTGCCCGGCTCTTGCTCCTGAGATGACTCTCTCCTTCACAGTAGGTGACACAGCAACGACAGGCTGCAGAGGGCTTCCCTCTGTGCTTGGACATTGTGTCTGGGGCTGGAGAGTTGCCTGCAGCTCTCCCTGAGCCCTGGAGTTCTGGGGGCTCTTTCAAACGACTTTTCCTCCTTTGAACATGGTCCAGACTGATGTCAGACTGGGAAGAACAGCTTTCATTCCAGCCAGAGCTGGCACTCAGACTTCTCAGGGGAAGAGCCAACCGCAAGGCCTTCCAGAATTTAGAGCCAGAATGTTTGGACTTTTCTCCCTTCCAGCTCACAAAAGACACAGATTCCTTCAGCTGCAGGATGCTTGGGTGTGGGTGCTCAAGGGGACGGTACTCAACCACAATGAGCTTGGTGGAGATGGAGTTCTGGCACATGACACCCAGTTTAAACTCCAGCATGCTGATGCTTTTTTCTGTCACATAGTCTGGGCTCAGGACAACAATCATCCTTCGGCTTCTCTGAATGAAGTCAAAAACTGCTTCCACTGTATCTATAGGAAAATGGAAAGATAGGACAATGCCTAGTGAAAACTTATGTAAACTGTAGTTCATCGTTGTCTATCCTACAAAGGAGAGGCAATAAATAAACACTTAAGAATGTAGGATCTCTGATTGACCTATTTCACTTAGCCTAAGTCAATCAGAGAAAGGCAAGTATCGTATGATCTCACTGATATGAGGAATTTGAGAAACAAGAAAGAGGATCATAGGGGAATGGAGGGAAAGATGAAACAAGATGAAACCAGAGAGGGAGACAAACCATAAGAGACTGTTAGTCTTAGGAAACAAACTGAGGGTTGCTGGAGGGGTGGGGGCTGGAGGGATGGGGTGGCTGGGTGATGGACTTTGGGGAGGGTAGGTACTATGGTGAGTGCTGTGAATTCTGTAAGACTGATAAATCACAGACCTGTACCCCTGAAACAAATAATACATTATATGTTAATAAAAAAATAATGAAAAATAAAATACTTAAAAAAAGAATATAGGATCTCAGTGTTAAATAATCTACCCAGTTAATGAATCTCATTTACGCCACTCTTATAAATGATTGCCAAGACTCTGCTACCTTGAAGGATGAGGAATTTACTACCTCCAAAAGGCAGCTAATTTCAGCTGTTTGTAAGTTATTTTTTCTGAAATACTCTTCCCTGCCTCTTTTATCTGGTGGTCTTAGATCTGATATCTTCAAATGTTTAAAATATTTCACAACTATTTTGACTTCACTGTATTTTCTTCTCATCTTTAGATTTAGATTAACTTTAGAATTTTTATCTTATTCCTTATAAGACATGGTATCAAGCCTCTTCCCCCACTTTTATCATTTTCCTCCGAATAATCATCAGTTTATATATATATCTTCTGAGAGTAGTATCTTGAACTGGACTGAACACAATGCTCCAGACAGCCTGATCAGTAAAGAGCAATAGGGAATTACCATCTCTTAAGAACCACACAGTTCTATCTTTTGATTCTTAAAATTTTTGGACACAACATCAGACAGTTCATAGTATTGATCTTGTTATCAACTAAAATCTCCTTCTTTTTTTTCATGTATATGTGTGAAGAATAGGACGACGAATCATTTAAAGGGGTAACAACATAGACAATGGGCAGGAATCAATTAGTTTAAGACTTCTGACAAAGCATTAACTTTTAATAGTTACTGAGGTGGGTTTAGTCAGAGATTCCAATGGAAAGTCCCTGAGATAAATGTTGTTCTTAGCTCATCATGAGATTTAAGGAATTAAACAATGTGATTTTCTGAAGGAAAGAATTTCCAAATGTGTAAATCAAATCACAGCCGTTGACAATGTTGAAAACAGGTGCTGCAGACAGACCATCAGGTTGAGTACCTACTTTTTTGGGGCCAGGGATGAAACAGTGAATGAGAGACTTTCTAGCCTGTGAAGACAAGCTGGAAGTTTACAGTGAATTTGATCGTTATGAATATGACAGAGAATAAAGGAGCTGTGCTCCTTACCAGATTAGTTCTTTCCAATTAGTAAGTTTAACATGAATTGGAAGGGTAATTGGAAGAGACATGTGCTCAATTTTTAAGACATTTTAACTAGTTTTGTCAAGAGTGTGAAGTAGTTTTAGGGAATTTTAATTTTGATCTTAAAAGATAAATCTAAATTTTCACTTATCTTCAAAGCCCGTGTGTGTGTGTGTGTGTGTGTGTGTGTGTGTGTGTGTGTGTTTGGAAACTCCTTTGTCCCAGTCCTACTGAGAATTTGTGTAGCTGCCTTTCACAAACCTGAGAATGTAAAGTAGAAAATCTACTGCTTCTCCTGTCTCATGAGAAATACGGTATAACCTTTAGGTAACATGGATAGATTTCAACAAAAGGAAATTTGTGCGCTCAAATTGTGTGTGCATGCATGTGTGTGTATTGTGTGTTGTACTTCAAAATAGTCACATTAAGAAAATGTATGTTCTGTCCAATGAGGATATCACTGTGGAAAATAAAGTGCTATCTTAGATCCTCTAAAGAAAGATTGTTCTTTTTTTTTAATTGGTACCCCATCCTGAAAATGTGAAATTTGCAGTTGAAATAGGGCAATGCTAAAGAAACAGATATGAGTGGTGGAATTCCGTAACATTGAGGAATGGATGGAGAAGATACTTATCAGATGGGATATGGGCTATACCTGAAGGTCTTCACACAGTACTTTGAAGGAAGCTGCCTCCTTTATGCCATATTTTAATGTTTTTCATATTGTAAAAACTGCAGTTCAGGATGTAAATTGTTATTTTTTAATGCTTAAGTTTATTCAGAGAGGGAGTCATAAATTAGATCATTTATTCTGTTGGGCTCAAAAAGGTAAGATGTGGCTATAGACTGATGAGACCAGATTTCTTGTATGGTACTAAATTAATTTTGAATTCATGTTTTCTGATCTAGAATTCATCAACACTCTAGAATACTCCTGCCTTTAAAAGTCATAATCTCCCTGGAATTCACCTAAAAGAAAACTAGGACTGTAATTTTGTTCTCTAGGTAGATTATTGGTGTATGCAAGGGCAGCAAATCTCTCTCTCTCTCTCTTTTTTAAAACGTGAAGTGTAGTAAAAAAGGGAAGGGGAGGAGGCACCTAATTTGGAAGATGAATGTGAATTCAAATATTAGTTTCTCCATTTATTTCTGTTTTTATCTTAATATCTTTAAGTCTGAGTTCATCCATCTATAAAATGCATATAATAAACTTACAGGATTATTAAAAATTAAAAACACCTATATGTAAATGTCTACACATAGTAGACATTTGAATTAATCGCTTTGGTTAAATCTAGTGAACACAATATTAAACTAAAGTAGGGCTAATGTTAATTGAATTTGAGTCAATTCTTCATGGTAACTTTAGAGAATCACCTTAATATGTGGATTTATAAGTGAATAATAAATTTTAAAAATTCTATTTGCTTTAAAATAGATGTGACTAAAAACTACTAGGGCCACATTTAATCTCCTAGCCCATTGCTCTCTTTCTGCTGCTCTGTTATTCTTCCTCTGTCTCCATACATGCAAAACCACACACACACATGCACACACAGGCACACTAGAACAATTCATTTTATTTAAATAACTCTTTTATTCACATGTAAAGAAAATGTTCTTGATATAAAGTTCCCATTTTTCTCAGATTTCTCTCAGAAAGAGAAATTTAACTAATGTAACTTCTAACATTTCTTTTAATGCGTATCATTATTTCTTCTTATTCTCATTTCTTATGCCCAAAGATGAAAATAAAGACATAAAACACATGCACAAAATAAAATTCAAATCAGAAAATAAATGGTTTATTTTTAAAATAAACAAATTTACAAATCAAATGGAAAATGGAAAATACAAAAGTTTATGAATAAAATAAAAAAGATAATAAGATAATCTTAAAATATTAAAACCTATGGAAAGAAATGGATAATTAGCAAGTGGAGTGATGCTTTTTTCCCAATACAATGGAGTGCTTGTTTATTAGAATCCTAGGGAATCACCTAAGTTACAATATAGAAGATAAATAAATTTTATGTCATTGTGTAATTAGACACTTTATATGTCATGGTTCTTTGTTAACTTGGGTGCAGAAGATCTTTATATCATATATCTAAAACCATTAAGGTTTTTTATTAAACATTAGAGACATAGTTGGGTTTAATATTATAGAGCGATTTCTCCTTGCTGTCAAAATTATATTTCCTCACCTCCTTCAAAAATTTTGTATCAGGTATCTTCTGGGACATAAAACAAACAAAAAAACCTTGAAACAAAATTCTCTGAGAATGAGACATATCATTTAGACGTGAGATGTTTTAGATTTTAGCGTTTGGAAAAGTTCAATATCAAAGACCAGTAGATAAATAGGAAAAAGAATATCAAGAAGTTTCTAGGGGTACCCAAAAGCATTTGGGATAAATATCAAATCCAAAAGTGCAAAAGAATGCAGCATTGGCAAGAGAATGGCCCCTTGTGATGGGACTGTTTCCTATTACCTAAAGCTCATGCAATTGATATTCAAAGCTTATCTGGAGTCAGCTCTCCTCTCGTCTTGAGGATGAAGGGTTAACAGGAGGAGTAATTGTGGTTTGTAATAAAAAAAAAAAAGCATTAGTAAGACAACAAAACAAAACAAAACAACCAGATCCAAGAATGACTCCATTCCATAGTTTTACAGTCAAGAATTCATGAAGCTTTTCTTTTCTTCAATTTAAAATAATAACTCCACTATAGAGAAATGATTTATTATGGACTTTACCACTGCTGAAGGACACTTAAATGCAGGAGATAGTTTTAGAATTGGTTATCAACATTCATAATGCTGGGATAAGGGTTCCCTTAAATTTTGAATTATGGTGTTTCATAGGAAACTCAGGCTTATTTATAGGTATTTTATTTTCCTTTTCTCTATTACTCAACAGTCGAAGTAGAGATCTCCCTAGTAGTTGAACACTGAGATTACTGTAGTTTAGTTTCTAAGAATGTGTGCTTGCGACATAGTAGATGATCAGTTAATGCCAGAGGACTGGTACTGCTCAGCAGTGACCAAAGAAGCTCTGCGTCCAACAGGTTCCACTGCACCCAGACCAAATGTAGCAGCAGTAAGTTATTTATACTAATTTAGGGAAGGCGAGAACTAACAACTACTACACTGTGAGCTGTGAATTTACAAATAATGTATAGAAAACACCGACACAAAAGCATTACAGTAAAAACATAATTTAAAAACTGGATTAAGAGTTCCAGTGGTTGGTAATATTGTGCCAATAGCTATTTAAAGTCACCTGCATGTGTACATAAGGGTGTGTACATATATATGTACACATATACATACATATACACATATATAATCCATGTGTATATATATACAATGTAGACATATATACATATATAATTCATGGGTGTGTGCATATACGTATATATGTGTGTGTGTGTGTGTGTATGTATGGATATATGTACACTACAGGTATTCACCACTCTGTAAACTCTGGACTTAGTTTTCACTTTTCCAAGTCTTAAGAACAGTACAATCTTATTTAAAACAAAGTAAAACAAGTTTCAAGGAAGAGACTTTCCAGACTGACTTGTTTGGAGTGAGTGTATTAACTGTACCGGGAATAAAATATGGAAAATACTGGGTGGTCCAGTTAATTCTCTTAGAATATTAATGCCAAAAGCAACTTGCAAGGTCATTGAGTCTAACTTCCACATTTTACAGTGGAGAGTCAGAACAAGTGAGGAGAAATCACTTTCCTAATATTCACATTAGCAAGGCGGAGATGAAAAGTCAAATTGCTGAACAGCCTGTTCTGTGCTTTTCTCACAAGCCAGAAAATGCCCTAAAAGCATTTTGCTGTTATTTCACTCTCTCTTAGCACCATTAGAAGCTTCCTGTCAGACTGAACCAAGTGTGGAGCCATCTGCAGACTCTAAACGGTTGATACGAGGTACAGTTGATAGGGAAGATGAAGTGACAAATACGGGTGGACCTATGGATATCTAGGAGTTTACTGCAATAAAGAAAAATATGGTATGTTTTTCAAGTTGACAAATAGGACATCAATGACTGAGATAGAGGGCACGAGGGATTGAGTAGGAGAAAATGCAGGCAAGCCCTTTCAAACCATCGTAAGGAACACTTTCAGTTATACTGCTTCATAGAGTCCTAAGTGGGTGTCAGTCTGGCTGTGATGCGGCACTTCCCAGCAGAATGAGCAGAAGAGCTCATTGTCATTAGCTCAAATTAATTTCGGCACTGATTATCTGTTTAACTGACGAGTAAAAATACAAAGAAAATGACTTGGACACTCATTAAGACCTTGTTAGCAAATGAGTTACTTAAAGCGGTCTTGAAATCCAAGCCAAAGGCTGCCCCACACTGTTAAGATTATAAACAATGAGAGAGAAAGAGGGAATAGAGATGTGGGAACAGGGACAGAGGATGCAGAAAGGGGAAATTCGCATCAACCAAGTCTTTGCCTGGGAAGAACGCGGTGACATCAGACACTGGTGACAGACTGGTGGCGCCACCATTCTAAACCATAGTATTGCCTGAGGAACGACCAGTCATACAGTCACCCTGAATACGTCCCTCGGGGGAGGCTTCGACAGAATTCTTTTCTGTCTGTGAAACAAGACACTGGGAATAAAGAAAGGGGACTCTTCCTTCCTGGAGTTCCCTTGGTTCTTTTTACCCCTTTCGTTGTCCCTTTCATACATTTTTCAAGGATGAATAGGAGAGACCCTGCTCGCCACTTCTAGACCACCTGGAACTTTTCTTCACTGGCATGGCCACCTGCAGCTGCTTCCAGAACCTGCCCTGTGGATACTTGGATTTCTCCCCTTTCCATTTAATGACCGTGAGCACCGTCTTAGCCCTCTTCAGCTCTTTCACCTTCGTCTCCTTCACCGCCTTGTACTGTACTAAAATGACGTTGATGTTGCCCCGAGAGGCCATGTTTTCTAGGCCAGCCTTGAGCTCCAGCAGGGCTTGGGTTCCCTGGAGCACGTAGTTGGGGCTTAGGACAACCAGGAGGCGTCTGCTTTTCTGAATGAAGCTCAAGGTCTCATCTGTGACAACTGAGAAAGAAAACACCATGGGGATTAGTGTTGGCCAAGAACTCCCCAAAAGCCTGGGGCTTGAGTGTAGTGTAGGGAAGTGTAGGGAACTCAGGGTAACAGCCTGAGAACTGAGATGAAACTTTTACCAAGAACATTTGCAACAACTTAATCCTTACACCCACTCACTCTGTCCAATAAATGCCACACTCCTCCAAGATACTGAAAACCAGATGCCCATATTCCACCCCCCAAAAAATTCCACACAGGCACGAAACCAAGTATACTTCTATAACCCTGGTCTTCAAAAGCATTACGAGAAATAGATGGGTTGTACAGATATCAATTTCTTCAAAACACATGGCATGCTGCAGCCCAGCCAGATCAGCTCCTGAACACTTTCTCCCCAACAACACCCATGTATTTACTCTCTGATGCCAGTGGCTATTCAAAAACATAATCTTTATAGAGGCAAAATCATGGAAATTCATTTCTCACTAACAGAGGAAAGCAAGAGTAGGAACATTCATTTTCTGAAAGTCCCTCTCTGTTGCCAGACTCCTACCCAACTCAGACTGGTATCACTATGTCCTTAGAATAGGAACTTACAAAAGCCTAGCCCACTGAATGGCATTTTGGCTGGCATCACATTCTCAGCTCAGCTTTCTATTCTGTTCTCTGCTCTAGAGCCTAAATTAGTCCCTAGATCTTTCTCCTTAAACTCTTATCATTACTATGAAGACATGCGTTTCGGTAGGCTGCTAGCTGATGTGTCTGCCTTTGCTAACAGGCAAATGCTTTCTTCAGGTCAGAAAAGAAGAAGAAACAGGGAAAATGGAAATTCAGTGTAATTTTATTCTGTTGTCAAGGGCTCTGGTTAGTTCCCATCACTAAATTCTTGGGAATAACCCATCTCCTCAAGGCTGCTTGTCTAGGACTGTATGATCCTTTACCTGGGGTTCCAATAGAACTCAATTCCAGGGAATGCACTAGTGTTGTGGGAAGCTATTTCATGGCTTACAATACTCCCCTAAGCAGTCATTCTGTCCCTTTATCTTCACAGGTACAGAGGCAAAGGGGAAAGACTTGCAATTAAAATTCCATGTGCAGCCTGCAGGAGAATCCAGGAATCAGTAATTATCTACTCCATGCACTATTGCTGGAGGCAGACCATGTGGAAGCGTGGAAAGAGACCCAGAGGCAAAGAGAATGAAGAGCAGCAGTGAGAATGCAGATCACAAGGACTGACCAGCAGAAGCAAGATGCAAGAGTAATTATGTAGAACTTGAATTCTTCAAAGAATTATCAACCCCTATTGGAGGGTCATTGCTGTTATACTGTATGTCTTTATATAACTTTTCATACTGAAATAAATATTTGTTGAATGGCAGAATGAATGAATAAATGGATGAATAAGTGACTTAGGACTTTAAATCTTAAAATGAGTGGAATTTGTCCCTTAACTGAATAATCAAGCCATCATTTCCTGGCAAAATGATACTGTAGAACACTAGCATGATGGACTTCTAGGTAATGGCCAAGGAGATAAAATAAGTGGTTCAGCTAATTCAAAATGAGAATAAACAGTTAAGTCTATTTTGTATCTCCATTATCTATATGACATTTGTAGAACATTTGAAATGATGAACATATACAGGATTGGAGGGAAGGAAAATTAGTTTGTTTTGCTGAGGGATAAACACATTACATGCATTTCAACAGCACAAAGTTCAACAGTGGGTTTAGGAATGCTATTATGTATTTATTAAAGCAGACTCAAATGGACCATCACTTTGAATGTTACTGGGTAGACTTGAAAATTTGAGATGCACTTTTATTTGAAAACATTCAGCAATTCAAGTTTCTAGTATATACTGGCCCTTTTAAAATTTTAAATTACATCTCAAATGTATGAGCTGGTAGAAAGGAGGAAACAGACCCAAGAAAAGGGGGGATTTAAATAGCATAGGCTTGCGAGAAAACAAAAGTGAGGAAAAGGAAATTAGCAAATGCCACAGGGAAATATTCTAACTATTAGCAGTGAGTACTATAAAGAAAAACTCCATGCATTCTCTTCACAAACTCATTCTTAGTAAAATCAAGTAAACCTCAGTCTTTGTAAAAGTGTTGCTTAATCTCAATGCTTGCAAAAAAAAAAAAAATTCTAGGGAAATTAATGCAGGTTAGTTTAAACCTTCTTAAAAATCTAAATGTGTGTAAACAGAACATTTAAAACTGAGGCATTTAATAGAGTCCTAATCCACTGCACATCCATACTTTTCTGACCTGGAGTTCTTAGGGCTTACAAGGGGAACTATTTTAGTACCATAAATGGAACCTCAATAATCTACAACTTAGGAGGTAATTTTATTCCTAAAGAAGTCTCCACTACATCAAACAATTGGACGTTCAGTATCCAAAGATGCCAACACAGAACTCTGCCATGACTGTCACACATGATTCCAAACTAAGGATTCCCTTTGCCATGCAGGGTGGCGTCACTTGTACTCATGTGAAATACCTACTTCCCCCAGGTAGACTGTCACGGTCAAAGATGCATAGCTTGTATCCAAATTCATTCTCCAAAACTCCACGGAGGGTCAGTAACACAAACTCTTCTTCCTCAGCATTCCTTGCATAAGATACATAAATATCATATTCCTTCCCATCTAGCAAAAGGAAGAGAGATCCAATACAAATTAGAAAAGTTTCATCATCATTCTGCATTTTTTTAAATTGAACTCTTGCATATTCGACACTTTCACTTTTTTACATGTATGAATTATCTGACAGATTTCAGGGTGATTTCCCACTTGTGACAGGTCTCCAGGCAAAATGACTATTTTAAGGAGTAATTGAAAATTTTTTCTGATGTGTCTCCTACTCTCATATCGCTAAGTTTAGTTTTTATAGTGGAAAATAAATGAGGTTTGGCTCATTCAACTATGAATTAACACAATCAGGATGCAAATAGTCAATCATAGGTGCTGGCAATTAATACCATACTGAGAATTTATGGTTCCTGTCTTAGTTTGTCACTACCAATATATTAGAATTATAAATGGAGCAAAACTTTTAGAAAGTGTCTAAGTTATTTATACCTGAAAATAACTGCAATTAAAAATATAGATTCCATAAACCCATCTTTCCCGAAGGTGCCTAATTATAAACATCACCTCTCAGTAAAAATAAAGGTTCTTTGTCTCTTCTGCCACACTACCAAATGAAAATCTTTATGGGATGAGTCTAAGAATCAGTATGTTTAATTGTTCCTTTCTTGTCACCAGGCAAATTTGCACTAGTACAGTACTTCTAAAACTTCAATGTGCACTTGAATCATTTGGGAATATTGTTAAAATGTAGATCCTGACTTAGAATAGGGGTTAGGCTTAAGATTCTCCTTTTAACAAGCTCCCATGTGATGCTGACATTGCTGGTGCCTAGACCACCCTTAAGTACAAAGAGTGTAAGCCTGCACTGTCCAGGTAGATCTAGCACACCAGCTACACGTAGCTCTCAAACACGTGCAATGCAGCTGGTCCGAATAGAGATGTACTTTCAGTTTAAAATATAACACAGGCTAAAGTATGAGATTTTGAAAACCAAAAAATAAGACTAAAATATCACCATTAGCTTTTAAATATGCATGATATGCTAAGACAATAATGTTTCGAATACACTGGGTTAAGTAAGATATATTATTAAAGTTATTTTCACTTTCTTTTTACTTTTCCTCCTGTGACCACTAGAAAGTTTTAAATTACATACGTGGCTTGCATTGTGTTTCTATTTGGACAGGCTAATCTAGACTAAACACATATTGAACCAAGAAAGCAAAATAATATACATTAGAAGGATTTTTAATAGTAAGGGCTGAAACCGAAGACAGTTTGATTAAATCTCCCAGTTATTCTTGCTTTTATCAAGCCAACATGTTTTCTGAAAATGACAATAGAAGAAGGTATTTGCATCCAACTTTTATTACTCACCTAAAATGGTTTCATCTGTTCCAAAATGAGCCCGGTAAAATAAGACCATCTCCAGCCAGTAAACGTGGTAAACAACAATGAGAATCACTACCAGCAGGACTGTGGCTCCAAAACCACATGCTAATTCCACTGTGTATCTTGGAGCTATCAGTGGAGTGAACAACAAAGAAACAATTGATTTCTACGTGGTGATCACAGTGATCCATCATCCTGCAAATAGCCGGGTAAACCAGGCAGCTGAGCCATGCACCTGACTTATATGTGTGAACAAGCAGAGATAACATGATAGGCTTTAAGCACTATGTTTTAATGCCAGACCATGTCATATTTATCTTTTTGTTTCCAGCACCTGATGTAGGTGTTTTAAACTACTAGGTGAGTTGAATAGACTTTGATATTATATAAATATATATTAATGGTATATAAATGGTATATTAGTTATATATATGTATATATATATATATATTAGCATTAGAAAGGATTTAGAAGGTCATCTCATTCAACTCATGATCTGATACACGAATCTCCTCAAAAATATTTTTGAAAAGTGTAATTTCATCTTCTGTTTGTCCATCTCTTGGGATGGAATCCTTACTACTACCCAAACCAGACTATGATATTGATAGAAGTTTAATTGTTGGAGCATTTGGGTTGTGAAAATCTTAATGTGTTTCCATTAGTCTTAATTCCACCCTCTCATCAGTGCCATATGGAAAAAAAATTAATTTCCTTTCCTATAAATTTGGAAAAAAGCCTCAAAAATCTTATTTTCATTGGGCAGAAACAGAGGGTATCCACCAAAGCTGAGTATGCTTGGGTTTTAAAGTATCTTCCCAGGTTTACAGTTCTAGGACACACATTCTGAAAGTTAACTTGCAATATCCAGGTATGGACAGATTCCCACGTTATCTGCTTACTTTTATATGAGAGGCATCTTAGCAATTTCTTTGGAACTATCAGAAATAGAATGAGGTATTTCCTGACTTCGTAAAAGCTAGAAATGTTTTAACTCAGCCCTGTAAAGAAGGTCTGTCATGACCAAACCACCAACCACCCTACTGGCTCATTTACCAGTACCTTCCCCTCAAAAATGTCAGGAAGATTTTGCTTCGTGTCTTTGCTCATGCTGGGACTTCTGGCGGAAAATACTTCTTTCTTTTTGTTTAGTTTTTAAGTCCATGCTCAAATGTCATTATTTTGTATAAGCTTTCCTAGAATAAAACTCCTCTTGCAACCTGACATCTGCCTGGCAGAAATTCCTACTCTTCTCATTGTTTGCAATTCTATTATAGCACTTGTATTCTATTGTAATTCGTCTACAAGTCTGCTGCTCCCTCTCTCTCACTCCCCACTAAATTCTACATCTATAGCCTTCTAGGTAAGCCTATGTTTTCTTCATCCATCCTACCACTAGAATACATAGGATCTCAATGAACGTTTCCAGATAGAACCATTCTGAAATATTTAAAAGAAATCTAGTACTATTATGTATCAACAACTTTATTTGGTTGCTTTGTTAGCTTGTGATAATGAAGCCTAAGTGTTTGAAGAAGGAATAGAATATTTGGATCTGAAGAAGGAGTGGCTTAAATTATGTAATAGTTGATTTGACAATTACTTATTAACATCTATTATTTGCCAGAAGCTGTTGGGGATACAATGGTAGATCAGACCAAAAGGGTTTCTGACCTTTTAGGGTTAATATTCTAATGCAAGGAAATAAATAATAGGACAACTATTGCTAGGTAGTGATCAGTGTCATAAAGGAAATAAAGCAAGGTAATATGATGGGGGGGGACTGAGAGGCTGGGCTGGAGCAGAAGAGGCATATCAGGTTGGGTAGTGAGAATAGGCTTTTTGGTCACCTGAACAGTGTGTTCAGTGCTTGCCAAGGTGTGTACAGAGGAATTTTGTTCAAAGCTAGGATTGTTATCCAGGCTCTCTGACTCCAAAGTCCAGAGATCTTTGCAGAGCTCTGCCATGAAGTTTAATTATTGATCATATACTAGCGGAAAAATCCCTTTTGAAACAGGTATCTCTCCTAAGGGGAAAATGGTAAGCAGTCTGGAGCTGAGCCTGAAGTTCTCTAATTAAAGGGCAGATCTTAGAGTTTCAAGTTCATTATCCTAAACTTGGGATGCTAATCCTATCTCAGAGATAGCCGCAGAACTCCGCAGTGCAGTGCAGAATTATTACCAGGTATTCTCATGCTTGTTCCATGAATAATGGTGTTTAAAATAAGAAAACTCCATCATTGAATGTCAAAAGCTATGTCAAGTGCAACTGCTGAAAATTTACTAAGATCAGTTTGGGTAGCTGGCATGAAAATTGCTGTGTCCTTGGTATTTCTGAGCACATGTTATGTTAACAGTACACCAGGGTAATTCCCATGTCATCTTCATTATTTGCTCAGTTATTTTGGGTCCTTCTGGCTGGACATTTTGGAATAGGGAAGAAAAAAAAAAGAGGTCAGTGGATGCACTTACCTGAAATGGATTTAAGAAAAAATATCAATAGATATCTTGTCTAATGATCAAGAGATCAATTACCCTCATAAATTTCCCTCTGCCACATTCATTTTACTACTGCCTATTTTATTTTTAGGGAGGATTTTTACTTTGGTTTTGGGCCATTTCATGACACGGGTCATGTTTACAGACTGTATTTTGTGGAGGTCATCTTGATGATATCAAGAGGTTCCTAATACTATTTCACTAATTGAACTCTTAAGTAATCCACAAGCCTGAATTTCTAAATGGCTTGAATCACATGCAGAAAATGTTCTAAAAAGCTTTCCTATAAAGCTCTGCTGGTTTGCAGGGAAAGGATGACCCTCAGCCCACATTTTCTGTCTGCCCCAGCTGGAACCTCCATTGTTTTGGCATAAGGATTTTACTCTGATGCAATCCCAGACCAAAGGATTTCCAATCAGGAAGGGGTGATGCAATTTGACCAAATTGCACTCCTAAACAGCTTCACTCTTTGATCTCACTTATAATTGATGTAGGATATAGCCAATTTTAGCCACTTGCTCTGCTGTTATTCCCTGAATCAGAATCCCCTCCACTCCTTTTCCAGTTCAACAGTAAAAACGGGCTCCAAGGTCCCTATTTCCAGCTAAGCGCCCTGAGTTAAACCAATCCAAGACTTTAGCTCCAGTCTTTTTCCGTTTCAAGTTAGTGGTCTACAATCTTGTTTCTTCTTGGTAACCTAACTTATTTTCTTCCTCTTCATTAGTTGGGGCCTTGCTATCCACAGGGGCTCTGAGCCCAACACCAGCTGCTTGACACTGGACTTTCAAGTATCTCCTGCCACAGAACCTGTGCCTGTTCTTCACTAAATTGCTGAGACTTCTTGATAATTTGGGGAGCCATGTAGTGACCACTTCTCTGAATGACAAACAATTAGAATGTTTTATTTAGATGACAGTAAACCAGAGAGCTATCAATGACTTAACTCGCAGACCTGCTTTGTTTGATTATCATAGTGTTTTAAAATGTGTGCATTTTGCCTGTCAGCTTCTGGCCTTAGAGAAGGAATGGATACTGGAGTGGCTTTCTCACCATAGTATTTACAATGACAGTTTTCCTAAGGTGGACCCACTGGTAGTTGGTCTGTGTGCGATCTGGGTGAGAAAGGACATCAAACAGTTGAGCCCCACCACCACACTGGCTTCTTGCCTGAAGGCACTTTCAGACCATGGCAGAGAACGGGGAAAACCACAAGTATAGTCATCACGGTCAGCTAAGGACACAGGAATCACAGTTCAGAACTACTGAGTTGGGTTGAATTTACAGGCCTGGGTAAAGAGGGAAGAACACTGTGTGGAAGAAGCGCTCTGTAAATCTGCAAGGGGTGACCTCAAGTCTTTGGAAAAATATAAAGGTCTGCATAGGTCGGATGACACTTGACAAAATCAGGCAAAGAACAGGGGCTAGTGAAAGAAACTACCAGGGAAGGAACAGCTTCCAGGAGACTGGGAATTGAACAACTCTAAGTGCACATGCAGGGCTGGGGGACACTTGAGTTAAGACCAGAGTAAAGACACTTTGGCTAGCTCCCTATGTGTTAGGTAGAGACCCCAGAGAGTCTACATATGTCCAGTCTGGCCTTAGGGAAAAGGCTGTTTTTTAGATATACTCTAGCAAAGGTAAGCAGAATACTTCAAAAAAGCAAGCTGTTAAGCAAGTAAATTAACTCCCTCTGAGAACAAAACAATACTTACTTTCAAAAAATCAGACACTCAGTAGTGCAACATACATAATGTCCAGCATATGTTTTAAAAAAAAAGGACAAGAAAAAGAAAAAAAAAAAAGACCCATAATCAGAAGAAAAATCAGCCAATAAAACAGAATCAGAGGGGCACCTGGATGGCTCTATTAGCTACGCGTCTGACTCTTGGTTTTGACTCAGGTCATGATCTCAGGGTCCCAAGATCAAGCCCCACCTCGGGCTCTGCACTCTGCTGAGAGTCGGCTTGAGATTCTCTCTCCCTCTCCCTCTGCCCCTCCCCCTGTTTGCATGCTCTCTCTCTCTCAAATAAATAAATAAATCTTGAAAAAATCCAAATCAAAATTGACAAAGATGATGGAATTAGCAGATAAGCCTTTAAAATGAGTGTTATAAATATTCCTGTTGAATTAAAAAAAAGATGATGGGGCGCCTGAGTGGCTCAGTCGTTAAGCGTCTGCCTTCGGCTCAGGTCATGATCCCAGGGTCCTGGGATCGAGCCCTGCATCGGGCTCCCTGCTCCGCGGGAAGCCTGCTTCTCCCTCTCCTGCTCCCCCTGCTTGTGTTCCCTCTCTCGCTGTGTCTCTCTCTGTCAAATAAATAAATAAAATATTTAAAAAATAAATAAATTAATTAATTAAAATAATTTAAAAAATTAAAAAAAGATGATGAACATCATTAACAGCAAATAGGAAATATCAATAGGGATATTTTTATGGAGAAATGGAAATCCAAAAACTGAAAAATACAATTTTGAAATTAAAATTGCTGCAGATTAAACATCAAAAAAGAAATGACTAGTGGAAACTAGAAGAAAACTACCCAAATTGAAACACAGGAACAAAGAAAGGATGAAATAAAAATGAGAACTTCAGTGGCCTGTGGAACAACCCCAAGTGATATATATTAAATTTAATGGGACTACTAGAAGAAAAGGAAAGAATGAATGAATGAAAGAGCAAAACATATCTGAAGAAATAATGGCTGAAGATTTTTTCAAAGTAAATGAAAAATACAATAAACTCATGGAACCAAGAAGTTTAAAGAACCCTAAGTAAAATATAGTAAAATAAAACTACACCAAGAATTTGATAAATTTCAACACTCATCGTTTATACATATATATGTATATATGTATACTCATAATCTATATATACACACACACACACGGGAATTATAATTCTCTCAGCAAACCAAAAATAAATTAATCCCTCACATAGATAAAAGTCAGCTACAAAAAACCTATAATTAACAGCATATTTAATATATAAAAACTGAATGCATATCCTCTAAGATAGGGAACAATGCAAGGATGGCTGCTTTGATTTCTACTGATCATGGTACTGGGAGATCTAAGAGAGTGAAAGAGGCAGAAAAAAGAAATCAAAGGTGTAATGTTTGGAAAGGAAGGAGGAAAAGTATGTTTATATATGGGTGACACAATCAAGTGTATAGAAAATGCTAAGGAACCTAACAGACAAAACCAGCAGAAACCCTATTTAAGCAGTGAATTTGGAAAAGTCAAAAGACCAAGATCAAAACATAAAACTCAACTAATTTATTTCTATTTTCTCTCAACGAGCAATTGAAAAGTGGAATTTTAAAAATACCATTATAATAGCAACAGAAACAAAATACTTAGGGATAAATTTAACGTGCAAGACCTGTATACATAAACTAAAAAAAAAAAAAAAAGCTGAGAAAAATCAGTGAGAACTAAATAAATTGAGAGATATATCATGTTCATGGATTGGAAAATTCAGTATCATTATGATTTCAATTCTCCCCAAATCAATTTATACATTTAATATGATCCCAATCTAATTCCAGCAGACTCTTATGTAGAAATTTACAAGCCAATACTAAAATCTATATGAAAGAATAATATGGTTTTCAGAATAGTCAGATTAATCTTTGAAGAGAAAAAAGGAGGAAGACAATAGTTTCTGACTTCATGACTTACTTTAAAGCATTTAGTCAAGACAAAGTAATATTTGACTAAAGAGAGATGAACAGATTGATAGAACAGAATAGGGAATGGAGATATAGACACACAGTCATAATTTTTTTAGGTTAAGTTGTCAAAACAATTCAGTAAAAGAGGGAGAGATTTTTCAATATGAGGCTAGAACTGATTTCTATATGTAAAACAAAATAAAACAAGACACTAAAACTTAATCCATACCTCACAGTACAAAAAAATTTTTGAAATGAATCATAGGCTAAAGTATAAAAGAAAAAGCTAAGATTTTCAAAAATCAAAGACTGCTAACACAGGATTTAGAAAGTACTAACCATAATTGAAGAAATTGATAAAATGGACTTCATCAAATGTTTTAAAATTCTGCTCATCAAAAATAAAATGAATGCACAATAGTGAAAATATTCACAAAGTCATATATCTGAGATATATATATATATATATATCTCATTAACAAACAACCCAAGAACAAAATGGGCTAAAGATTTTAATGGCTACTTCACAAAGGAAGGACTATTAATTAATGGTAAGTCCATAAAAAAGTACTCAATATCACTAGTATCTGAAAATGCAAATTAAAAAAAATATAGTGTGATACTAGTACCCACTTACTAGGATGGCTAAAATTGAAAAATTTGACAACTCCAAAAGTTGGTAAGGATGTAGAGCACCTGGAATTTATATACATTGCTAATGGAAATATAAAATGGTACAACCTCTTCGGAAATAGGTTTGGCAGTTTCTCATAAAGTTCAACACACCTTGCCTTAGTCCCCACCTCTCCCCTATTATAAAACAACTCCATGTTTAACACATTTACATCAGCTGCCTCTCCTTTGATACTTTGCTTTAACTGACTAGATGAAATTGCACTGTCCAAAGACCTATCCCAGCGAATTCTTCTTATTTTGAGCCCTTCCTGTCATCTTTTTGATGAAAGACATAGAATGCTTTGTCAATGAATCCAGAGAAGGACTCATTACATATGACATATGAATGTGAATACAGATATCACCTCTGAATCCCAGCATTACCTGGCCGAGAATAGAAGCCAAGTAATAAACCCTCAACACCTCTGGTACCACAAGATGTACACAGCCCAGGCTGAATTCTTTGTAATACTAATGTAATTTCAGCACAGATCATCCAGTCAGTGGATGCACCTGTCATTTCACATTCCTGATGCCATTCATACTCAACCATTCAGAGCATGGCCTTGTGGGAAAGGGAGCTACTCACGTAGCTCTGGCAGGCAAACTTCTGCATCACTCTTAGACTAAACATGATTTTAATTTATTGTTCAATCCTACCTGACAATAAGTAAGTAATTTATGTCATCCTCCATAATTGTTTCTCAAAACACATGCTTCAAAAAACGAGTCCCAGAAAATGCTCCATTACTTCAGGAATCAAATATATTTGAAAAAAACCAAAAAAACAAAAACAAAAAAACCCTGCCTCCTATGTTCCAATTCCCCTCAGATATTCACACCAAGTGTTAATAATGTAAAGACTCTAAGGGGCCCTTGACTAAAATAACCTGATTGATTTTGTTTAACCTAGCCTTTAATGATACTTTATTTACTGTAAAAGCCTTTGTCAAATAACACCTGTGAAAATTTTGTGGCAATAATAAGTAGACTTAATATTTGTTGAGCACTTAATATATATGTATATAGGCCAGTAATTGCGCTGAGTACCTTAAAACAACCTTATGAGACAGTGGTATCATTTGCTTACTTTAAATATAAAGAAATTGAAGCTCTGAGAGGTTAAGTGATTTTTTTCAAGATCACAGGGTTTAGGATGCACAGAAACCGGGATTCCAACACAGGCCGTCTGAGTCTAGAGTACATATAATGAACTGCAGTACTATAAAGAGTCCTAGTAGTATTCTTAGGAACTAACTTTGGGAAACTGCCTTATATTATTTGGTTGAGTCTCGTTGCTTTACACTGGCTTCTGAGGGGCAGAAGCAATGAACTATCCAGAACCAATCCCCTAAGACTTTTTTTAAGTGGCATATAGACTTCAGGACTTTGCTTTTTACTTTCTAAATTATAATGAAATGTTACAGTGAAGCCTGTTTTTGCATCAGCTTAAAAAAAAAAAAAAGTTTGAATCCCACTGCAAAATGTAATAGCTATGAATTAATTTCTTTTTCTTTTTCTTTTTTTACTTTTGGTATAAATATTATAGGCTCTATCTGACAGAAGGATCCATGATGATTCTGAATGACGTGACTGCATGTGTGATAAATCATCATTATCTTTCTCTAGGTCATTGAAACACATTCTTGAAGGGATTAATTGTCAGGTTCTGTGTTAGGTGAGGGACCCAAAGATAATTTTAGACATTGTCTGTTTCAGTAGCAACAGCTCACACAAGAGAGCTTTATCACTTTTATTTATTGTAGAAAAAATTAGTAATATCAACATAGAAATCCTTTTATATTACTTTAAGTCACAGTTTAAATAATTTTCATTTTAGCAATTGTTCTAAATCTGTTTGAATACTGATACATAGTATTTAAAATGATCATTTTGAAATTATATTTTTGAGAAAAAATATTTTATATTTTACTTAACTACTTGAATATAATTAGATGGTTGCTATTTATAATGTTTCATTATTATAGATAATGCTTCTAAGAATAGCAATGGGTACATAATTCTCCTTCTGTTATTTGTTCAGAAAAAATTCCAAAAGTATTAAGTCATATGGTATGGTCATTTTTTTTTTTTTAAGATTTCTTTATTTATTTGAGAGAGAGAATGAGATAGAGAGAGAGAGAGAGCACGAGAGGGAAGAGGGTCAGAGGGATGCGGGACTCGATCCTGGGACTCCAGGATCATGACCTGAGCCGAAGGCAGTCTCTTAACCAACTGAGCCACCCAGGCACCCATGGTATGGTCATTTTTATGAGGCTTGAACTCTGCCATCAATGATTCCTAAAAGGGTCTTTACAATCCAACAATTATATGCGACTCTACCAGTATAGAGTCTCTATATCTTTGGTAGCTTTAAATTATTTTCTTTATTTTTCATTTTTCATGACTGTACTGATATAAAATTATGCCTCATTTTCATAATCATATAGATTTTTTGGCCACATATGTGCACTAAGTTACTAAAAGTATAAGAAACAATATTTCGACTGTCTTCACATAGATGGAAACTTTCCCTCAAGATTTTTTCAATTCACCTTTGATTCATTACTATGTGCCAGATGTGCTAGGTGCTGGAGCACTGTCTTCTCATTTCCCTTATTCACCACATTGTTACATTTGGAGTTCACAGACGCATCTGCTGAGTGCATCCATTACCTTTCTGTTTCACCTTGGCTGCTTTGTCAACCTCCCCTTTCGCATTTCTAGCATGACAGACATAGTTGCGCTTGAGATCCTCAGCAGTAACTTTTTTGATGTTCAAAATCTGAGTTCTTGTTTCATCTTCAGTTGCAGTCAAACTTACACTAGAAATAGGGGGAAGAAAATCAAAGCGTGAATGAGATGCAGGGCCATGTGCTGTGTGTGAATCAGACAAGGAGACAACCACAGGGCCCCAAGGTGAGGGCGGCCACAATGTCCATGAGCTGTGTTGCCTGAGATCCAATGGTTTCAAAGGAAGGATAGCTTCTAGATTCCAGTGCCATTCTTTACCTTCTATACCACACACAATCCCAGTATCCAGCACAAATCCCATTGCTGGCAACGTATGGCAGATCTCTCTTCAGAGCAAAATGTCTCCTTCCCTCAAACTTCTGAGATAGTATTCTGTATCAGTGTAGAGAGAAGCTTCTGAGGCCAGATCCATCTGGGTTTTGACCCAAGCTTTGCCATTTACTGGCTAGATACTTTGGGCACAGTAACTAATCTTTCCAAGTCTTGAGTTCCTCCTTGAAAGAGAGGTAAGTAGCAATGCCTACACAGTGCATTACATGTATTGACTTACTCAAGAACTCTGAGGATTGAGTATGTCAATGTGTAAGTATTAGAACAATTCTTAATAAATATTCATATAGGCAATTATTATCATCCTCAGCAATAGTTCATGCTCATATAGCTAGGGATTCCCAAAGCTTGGATTTTGAACACAGGTAGAATATTTCAGTAAAACGGCTGAAACTCCATGGGTTAAATCCTAACATAAAAAGAAGAGACTTCTCAAAGCAAGTAAGCTTTATGAAAATAAATACATCGTAATCTCAGCATGTCAGAGATCAAGTGCTTTGGGTCTAAGATCAAGATTTAAAATCCCTTGGAACTACTTGCTCCAAAGAGAAAACAAAATCTCTCTCCTATAGCTGACATCCAGGTTCTCCTTCCAATGAGGCTGACTGTCAGTCATGAGAACTTGGTCAAGAGTTGTGATGGGTTTAGCCTAAACTGAGCTGCACTGCTCCACTCTGGACACTGAGTTGTGTTGCTGTAGCAGCGAGGACAGACAGCATGACCTTCATTATTATTCATTCATTATTATTATGAGGATAGGAACCACAATGTTCAGAATTCCTTAAGTGATCAATAACTCTCCCTTTGTGTCTCCAGCCACATCTTTAACCAATTCCTTCTGCAAAAACTGCTCCAATTTCAGGAGTGTCCTTCTGTACCTTTAAATATGTGCTGCTTCTCTAAATTCCAGCCACTGCACATCATTTTCCTTTTACCAGGAACATTCTTTCTATTTCTTTACCTAGTTTATTTCTACTCATCCTTCAATTTTTTATTTAGGTACTGTACCATCTGAGAAGCACTGCCTCATCCCCTAAAACTGACTGGAATCCTCAGCTAAAGCTTCCGATAATATCCAATATTCTCGTCACTGCATTTATCACAATATATTGAAATTTCCGCTCTATCACTCCTACTCCGATAAAATCTACTCAGTTAGGGATGAAGTATCTTGCATAGCACTTGATGTAAAGCAGACATTTTATAACCTCTGCGCAAAGTGTGAGTTTACTATTAGGAACAACACATCTTTAAGTTTAAGTAGCCAAAGATGTATTTGCATATCATGTTAAGTCTCACGGCCCAGAACTACTTTGTCATGTAGTTGGTCAGCTGCTAATTTTTATTTATTGTTGCTGTGAACCAACTGTTGTCTTGCAGTTGTGTACTTCACTTATGGAAGGATCTTTTGTCTTCAAAGACCCATATTTTCCTCCTTGTCAACCCAATCCTCTTCAAAAATTTATATTTATTTAGAAATAAAATGACCCAGATTGTTATTTTAAGAGTGGGCTATATTACCACCTCATCCACTTTAAAAATAAAATTTAAAGAATGTGAATGTATTTAGCCAATATTTAAAAAAATAATTATCAATTATAAATGTAACATGCATGCTATGTGAGTTAAGAATGAGGAGGAAAATAGGAAATATATGTTTACTGCAAGAAAAGAAACTAATACAATTTATCTGAGGCATAAATACAGACTTGAGAAAGGAAAGAACAGGGCCACACTGACCAGCTTTCATGTATTCAGAGCCCTGTATTGTGGCTCTTCATTCATGTGGGCTATGCACCCCATCTACTTTCAAGTGGGAATCATGAATGTGTGATTATTAGAAGACATCTGGGTCTTGAATTGAAAGTCCAGTAATCCTGCTTCGGGATGCAGCCACTAAAGACTTGAAAATCTTGCAGATTTTTGGTAATGATGGGCCAAAGTCAGAGTTTTTACTTTCAATGATTAGTATAAGCCAGAGGGCATTCAGTTGAGGGACAAACGTCGATCACCCCTTGTCTGAGCCAATGGTACCTTTCATTAACAGTTACATCAATATTGGTGTCATCTGGCTTTTTTCCGTCAATGGTCCACCAAACCTCATTGCGAGCATCCTTCAGGAAAGTGAAATAGACTGTACAGGGGATGAGTAGCTCCTCTCCTAAAAAAAAACAAGTTAACCCATCAGTTTGTAACCTTCCATGGCTACACTGGTTTCACTCTGTGACTAATCAGAAGCTATAAAAGTGTACTTAAACACTTCTGAGTAATTTTCAAGTCGCCTACCATAGTAACGTACCATACTTCATTGCAAAATAAACAAACCAAGGAAAGAAGTACAGCAGTTTTATACAAAATTTCTAGAACGACCATCTTTTTATACAATCCATAAATCCTGTACCATGGCAGTATTTGTTTAAAGAGGCTCTGACAACATCCTTTTTAGCCCTAAACTTCCATGGACTACTCTTATCCTTTGTTACTTCCCTCACAAACAGTGACTAAGGAGAGATTGTCCAGACCTTTTGTGCTTGGTGCAGAAAAGATGGGGCAGTGCCAACACTGAGGGGCAGGCCAGATCTTGAAATGCTCAGGTTATCAGGGTGCAGTCAGTAAGTTTAAAATTTACATATATACATATATATATAATGCAAATATTTGTATGTTTATAAATACTACTGTTTATGAATAACAAATCTATGTTATCTTCCTGAGATGGAACATGAGGTCAGGGGGATCTCCAGGCAGAAAATGATAATAACAGGAAGGGCAGCTGCACCCTCACTAAGAACTTTATATAATTCACTGTGCTAAATATTTATACTTACAAGGGATCTTATTTAATTTAAACAAAATACTACGGGGTATTTTTTTAAATTCATGTTTTATAGATGTGAAAACTAACGCTTAACGATGTTAAATGCCATTCCTAGATGACATTGTTTTTTGTGTGTGTGTTTTTTTGTTGTTGTTTTCTAAAGATTTTATTTATTTATTTGACAGATAGAGACACAGCGAGAGAGGTAACACAAGCAGGGGCAGGAGGAGAGGGAGAAGCAGGCTTCCCGCTGAGCAGGGAGCCTGATGTGGGGGGCGGGACGGGGGCTTGATCCCAGGACCCTTGGGATCATGACCTGAGCCAAAGGCAGACGCTTAATGACTAAGCCACCCAGGTGCCCCTCTTAGATGAAATTGTTAATAAGTGGCAAACCAGAATTTGACCCAGATTGACTTTCATTCCAGTTTGCCCAGGACAACTCTGTTCTACGCTTGCTTTCTTAGTTATTGATATCAACTGCTTTCACTCTCAAAAGTTGTGCAGGTTGAGATGACAAATTATATTGTCATCCAAATTTGAAAGCAAGTTTGTCTCACTGCATGGTCCTACCTCATCCCCTCTTCTCATGCATGATTCTTATGTTGTCCCTTTCAGTTTCTATATTAATATGCAGGAAGGTAACATGAACATAGATTCTGTAACCATATGATAAGTAGATGAAACACACTAGGTCATCAGTAAGCGTTTACCCCCATAGCAGGAAGAATGTTCATATTACTATACAAAGCCACTATGAATTCTAGGAAATTTGGTCCATTTGGGGTTGGCAGACCCCTTTGTGTGTTCTTTGTTTTTTTTTTACAGGCAGCTCGCTATTTGAAACCTTATCTTAGTTTCAGGAGGGCATCATTGTGCTCTACCTACATTTGATCACAACCTCTGTTATCTTTAGTACATTGTAAAAATATGTTCTTTTACACCTTTCATTGGGTTTGGAGTGAGTTTATTGTAAAGGATACAATATAGAAAATTGTAAGATTTTCTATGGTTTTCAGTTTAACTGTGGGAGGCTTTGAGCCAGAAGAATAACACACGATGCCTTATTCGGTCAGTAGCAGATGATTTTTGTCCAGAATGGAAAATTATGAAAACTAAAAAAAAAACTTTTTAAAAGGAGACCCAGACAGCCATAGGAAACATCCCACAGAGTTCTGATTAGGGTGTACTAGTTCTACCAGTTGTTAACTCATTAAATTCAGGGTCTCACCCCCGAGCTCCAACCCCTGCCCTTCCACAGTGGAGCAGAAGCTTAAAGGATGTCTTGTGCTCATATCACAGTCTCGGCAAACCCAAGCTGTGTGCAAGCTAACGTGTACATCAGACAGAAATCACTAATCAGGAGAGGGGAGCCACTGCAGGGGAGGAAGGGAGCAGCTGTGGAGAGAAGCTGAGAATCCCAGAGATGCCTGAGAGATCTATGACAGAGGAGGAGCTAATCTCCAGAGCTGCCTTGATTTTAGTTTCAATTCCTCTGTTTCCTTACAAAAGCCCTCTATTTGCATGCATTAACTTAAATGACATTTTATTCCTTGTCATTAAGAGAATCTAACTGAAATTAAGAGGCACAGCTGTAATTACCCGGTTCTTTCTCGTAAACCACAAGATCATTGGGTGAATAGATCTGAGGAGGCAATGCGTCTTTTGGAGAGCCTGTTTTAGAGAGGAAGAAACAAAAGAGAGATGATGTTAAATCATGTATCCCTCATCTCTCATAACCCATTTCCAAGAGCTGCTCTTTTGTAAAGTTTTGCCCAACTTCCTGGCACAGTTTGTCAGTTCTTCCCGCAAGGGCCCACAGCTCAATGTAGAGTCATTTACAACACTTCATTCATTTCAAACAAGCAAAGAGACAAACATAACATACTAAGTAGCCTCCACGTTTCAGGATAGGAGATTTAACCAGTGTTTTTGCTTCCCAACGCTTACATGAAATACCCTTCTCATACTATAAAATAAATTGCTTTCATGTCTTCCTCAATTGTTTCTTTTCTACATATTTCTCCAGAACATGCCCAGGGTGTCTAGTATGGGACCTGGTTAAAGAAGTAAATATTAAATGAATACTAAGTAAATGGAAAATTTAAAACCACAGTTGTGAGGCCAGCACATCAGTCTACCCAATGCCTGTGACAGTTGACTGCTCATTCATAGGACTGCTGCTCTTTATAATATTCTATATTTCTAATTTGAAATAAAAGTACCCTGAAGGGGTTTTATAGTGTAGTGCATAACAGTAGAGGCTTCAAAGATTTAACAACCAAGGCTCTTATCCTTACTTGGTCAAATCCTAACCATATGACTCGGGTTTTTTGCTTAATCTTTGAGAAGCTAATTTTCCTCACCTCTAAAATGAGGATAATTAAACTCACCGCACAGGTTCATTAGAAGGATTAAATTAAGTCATGCATATTAAATTAAGTAATGCATATTAAAGCATCCTATTGGTATATAATAAGTGCTCAGTACTTCACAGCTTCAAAAACAAACTTGTGTTGCTTGAAAGTTGGATAAGAACCCTACCCCACATCAGTGTCTATCAACTTCTCTATCTATAAAACAAGGTGAACAAGCATGCCTGTTCTCAACTTCCCAAAAAGGGATACATTTAAGTATCTGTATCAGAAACAATTGCCAAGATGAATTTAAGGTTAGATTATTCATTTGGCTTTTAAAGCCCATTCCGGTTAAGTTCTAAATTTAGTCTGATTTTTCTTCTGAATGAGTTCCCAGCCCAGCATTATTCCAAAAGTAGGCAGAGGAAGAGGAGAGGGGATTACAAAATTTTTCAATTTGAATTTTATTTGCACTATTATGTTAAAGCCCTTAAAAATTACGCTGAACCTGGTGTCAGGCTATTAGAGAAAGCCCTGCACCAAGAATCAGAAACCTGAGATTTGGAATCACTTCTTACACTAACTCACAGAGCATCTCTAAACAGGTTACTTTGTGCTATTGGGTCTCGATGTTTCCATCTATGAAAAGATGGGGTGTGAAAAATTTTCACTCTGATATGCTCTCCTTTTTAGTATCATGGGCACAGTGGTATTTAGGGCTCTCCCCTAAATGCTGACATTGGTTCTCTTAATTTCTGGGTTTGATAGGAGTCTTTTGACTCTGCCTGGACATTGTCCTTTCCACTTTCTGAATTTCTCAACGCCCCCCCTCATTCTCTCAACCAGTGCAAAGCAAGGGTTAAACACCACTGGCAAATAGCTTCAGCTACCCCAGTTCCAGTCCACAGAAAGACAGAGCTGGTTGAATTCAAATACAACATTTTTGTGATAATAATTTTAACTACTTAATTCATTGAGTTTCTGCTGTTTGCCTGGAACTGGACTAGCATAATATGTATATTATTTCTAATGTTCTCAGCTATACTGAATGTCAGGTACTCTTAGTTCCAGAGTACAGTTCAGGAGAGCCAGACCCTGATCAAAGTCATATTGCTAATAAATGGCAAGGGTACAAGCTGAACACAGATTCCTCTGGTACTCCTTTCACTCCCCAAGCTGCCTTCATTCATTCACATATTAATTCATTCAGTAGACCAATAGTCATTGAACCCCTACTTTGTATGTGGAATTGCTGAGGCTCTAGGGACAGTGCAGTGAACAAAAAAGATAAACCTCTTTTCTCATAAAATGGATACACTTGTTTGTAATAAACTATGAAGAGCCAAAACAGAGTTATTGCATTTTTGTTGTGTGCACTTAAAAATCATGCTTACCTACCACCTTTACAGTCAGAGTCCTAGTGAGATGGAAGGTACGCCCATTTTCTGGATATGTAACAACACATGTGTAATCTCCATTGTTTGAAACTAAGGCTATGAGAAAACTCAAGTTCAGGCCGTCAGGTATCACATTATTAAAATCCTGTATTTTCTGACAGCCCTAGAAATAAAAGAAAAGATGTTCAGTATGTAGATACATGCACAGAAAATACACAAATGCATATACACACACCTAATTTTGCACAGAACATACAAATATCTATGTTGGCTGTACTTTTTACAAATTATTTTCGTCAAGTATTTGATGATATTTCTGCAAAGAATGAATGCAAGTTTCATTATACTTTCTGCAAAAGGAAAATAGGACTTTTGAACTGAGACATGGATTCAAAATCACAAGCTTCCTGTCTCAGGATCCCGTATTTGAATTTTGGAAATCCCATGTTAATAGTTAAACAAGGTTAAAGTTTTGAAAAACAACTAAAGCAACTTAAGGAAATTCACATGCTGCTATTTAAGAAACGCTTAGCTTTCACTTTTCCACATTTATTCAGTGATTATATTAATTCGGGAAGCCAGCCACTCTGACCATTGAGGTCTCACATTAAGTCTCTGGTTTCAGCATTGTTTTTTTTTTTTTTTTTAAGATTTTATTTATTTATTTGAGAGAGAGAGAGCGAAAGAGAGAGCACAGACAGGTGGAGGGGCAGGGGCAGAAGCAGGCTCCCCGTTGAGCAGGGAGCCAGACGTGGGACTCCATCCCAGGACCCTAGGATCACGACCAGAGCCAAAGGCAGATGCTTAACAGACTAAGCCACCTAGGGCCCCTCGTTTCAGTGTTTTTGATGGCTCTGTTGAATCACTCTATCTGTCACTGCCAAACTTTTTTGGGTTTTCCTTCTACTTATCCCATTTTTTTTTTTACAATCAAATATTACAGACTTCAGAATCTAAAACTAAAAGATATTTTATGAGTCTTACCAGGAATTACATTTATTTCTACACCAAATTATATTTTTATATACTTCTGCTGATTTGTAAACTTTTGAGATTGAAATACCTCATTCAACATAACTGGAATCCTGTTCTGGCTCTCTGAGCCCTACTAATGGGCTTATATTACTTTATTTTTTTCTCTCTAATAAAAAAATACATCAACTGTGACAAAATTATATGTGAAACATTTACTTTTAGAAAAAACTTTTGTTTTTCTTTAAAAAAATCAATAATTAATCTGTGACACAAACGGACTGGGTTAGGTCCAGAGTCCTTTAGATCTTGAAAATTCGGGGAGGTTATTATTGGCTTGTACTTTAGATTTACTGTATTTACATATTTAACTTTGATTCTTGAATACGTAAGGTTTTCTTCAATTCCTGGAGCATGTGTTTTGAAATATGACAGTTACACTGAGTGTCATATTTTGCAATTCTTTGTCATAGAAAATATGTCTTTTAAGAATATCACTACACTTGATGCATGGAGATGATTATCAAGAGGAAGCTGTTATATGCTCAGTTATTTTCTGAATGCAATTTATCCTGTTTTGATAAGCAGCGCTTCTAGACACTTGTCACGTCAGCAAAATATTTCAATCCTCTTAGGTTATCACAAAGTATAAGGCCACAGAGACCTGTATTCTATAATGAATTTATGTCAGATTTAGTTTAAATTGAGTTTAGACTATCTATAGAACTCTATTTGATTTTTTGTGGCACCTTTCTTTTAAACAGTTCAAAGCTATTTTCTTCTCTCATTTGTTAGCTTAGCTGTTCTTAAATTCCCATGAAGTAGACAGATCAGAACTAAATATGCTTTAGTTTTACAGGTGGAAAAAAAATAATGAGACAGACAGATAAAAAGGGACTCTCGATAACCCAGAGCAAAGCTAAAACTCAGTTTTCCAGACAGATGAACAAAGGTTTCTCACTAGCTTCTTAACTAAGAATGAACAGCTCTCCTTGGGAGTTGGTTGGGCTGGAAAAATTGCACAGACACATGTATTTACATGTACTCCATTAACCTCTCCAACCCTTATTCCAAACTCAGCAAGTCTGGCATGCTTTTATGCCCATTTTATAGACGAGGATATAAAGGCCTAGAAAGGTTAAGTGATTGCCAATGTCATAGAGCTAGGTAGTGTCGGAGCTAAAATTTAAATCTAGATCTACCTGTTTTGAGGCCTTTGCTTTTAATTCCACCTGACACTGTCTCCCTACCCTATCCTGTGGTCCTGCACATATGCCAGAGGCAGGCCGGTCCCAGTGTTAATAATGTGGCTCTATCGCTAATATGAGGCGGAGTCCCACAATTCATGATAAACTGGAAAAGCATACTGTTCAGGATAAGAAGTTAACAATTAGTACTGTACTTGTCAAAAGCATTTCTTAAGAATGTACTAAAAGAAACATTTTTTTGACTTATCAAGTATCATTTCTGTAAAAACTATTTAAACACATTTGTTTTAGGATTCACAATATGTGCTACAAATATGAAGAAATACTTCTAACTCAAAGCCTTTTCATTCATTCACTCATTAGTTCATTCACCCTTGAGTATTAATCATAAACCATGTGCCAGCCGGTTGGAGGTTCTGAGAATACGGCACTGACTAAAACCAAGGGTCAACTCTTACAGACTTATCATGAACAGAGAAATAGAATCAGACACATCTAAACAGCAAGGAAAATGGTACAAAATAGGTGTGTGTAAACAGCAAGGAAAATGGTACAAAATAGGTGTGTGTTGACCTCTTGCTAGCTCTCTCTTTTTCTTCCTCTTAACCAAACCCATGAGCTGGATATGCTTTAGGGTATTCAGTGGGCCCGTGAGTCAATGGTATGCTTTCTTGTGAGATCTTCTTTCCATAAAGGACAAAATGTAGGCCAGGGACAAGTTTTTCTTGGAGCCGCTTTGTCTAGAAAAATATTTCAAATTAAGGAATATTCCACAAAAATCAGTGGGAAAGTTTCAGGTCTAATCTACTAAAGCTGACCATTCAAAAAATTTAAATTAACTAGTTTTAACCAAAAGGAGTAACAAGAAAAGAAATAAAAAGCCATTTCAAAGTTATTAGACCTATAGCATGTTGGAAAAGGATAAGAAAGAAGTATTTTACATTCTAAGTGTGCACGTGCATGGTAGGGGTAGCTTTGGGGCATTGGTGAACTATAAATAACCATTAACTTTAGCCTATCATGTGTGATGAACTCTAATTCTTATAAGCAGTTGCATCTGTAGACCCTTTGGCACATGCACCTGAGATACACAGTATGTTTTTAAGCACAATAAAGTATTCCTAAAAATAAATACTGCAGATTTCAAAATCATTTCTTTGGAATCAGAAAAAAAAAAAAGGTACAAAAAAAATCTAGATATCCAAAGAATAAAAAAAAAATGTGTCCAAATACGAGAAATGGTTAATGGTAAGCTGATTTTCACTGTGAACACTTGTCTGACTAGAAAACGAGTCATCCACTTAGTTGACCAATCAGTTCCTCATTTTGAATTCAAAAGAGAGAAGTTCAACAGAACAACGTTTCTAATACATAGCGGTAGCCATGGCAACCTACCGCAATATATAGGTAAAGAACAGCACAAGAAATGACTTTGAGATCTTCGAGAGGAAATAAATCATGTGCTGAAGTGTGGGGTGTGAGTGGGGGGATGTCGTGACTTAAAAAGGACAGATGTTTCCATTCAATAAACCTACAATATTTAAAGAACTGTATGAAGGCACAAGAATGGAAATGGTAGAGTTCCTGACCTAGAGGCATGCAGTCTAGTGGAGAATTACAACAAATCCTATGAGAAGCATGTTGGGGTGGGGAAGTGGGAGAAAAGATTAAACAGAAAACATTTAGAAAAACTTCCTGGAGAAGGAAGATGTGGGCCCGATTGTTAAAGGGAAAGTAGAATATTACCAGTGATGTGGGAGGGGAGACGTGGGAGAGTGACACTCTAGGCACGGGGAAAAATGTGAAAAAAAAAAAAATCCCCTACACAGGGCGCCTGGGTGGCTCAGTTGCTTAAGCATCTGCCTTCGGCTTAGGTCATGAACCCAGGGTCCTGGGATCGAGTCCCTCATCAGGCTCCTTGCTCAGTGGGGAGCTGCTTCTCCCTCTGCCTGCAGCTCCCTCTGCTTGTGCTCTCTCTCTGATAAGTAAGTAAGTACATCAATAATAAATAAATAAAATTTTAAAAAATTCCCTATGCTCTTACAGCATTTTGCCCTCTGCGTTAGTCCTTAACCACCTTTATTATGGTGACTCTTTTCATGCTTATTTCTTCCTCTAGAAAACTTACTCCCAGGGGCAAGTGGGGGGTGCATGAGTACTGTTATCCGCATGGGCAGCAACTTGCCCAATACTTGGCACATTGGAAATGCTCAGTACATTTGTGTCGTAGGTCAGAACTATGGATGAGAGAAGGAAAGACACAAGACGTGGAGTTGAAAGTTCAAGCGGCATGCACATGATAATAAGAAGGTGAATACAAGGATTGTAATACCTGGGATGGGGGAGTTGTAGGATGGGTAGGGAGCCTGAGTGAGGGTACAGAGTCTGAGATATAACATTAGAATAGTTATGAATAGCTATTGACATTTTTGCATCTAAGATTAAGTTGCCGTGAAATGCATCATACTTGTTCAAGTCTCATAAGAGTTCTATCCACCAGTCACTTCCAATGAACTTCAGAACTACGTCATCCAATGTTTATGCAACAAATACTTACAAAATCCCTCCCATGTGACAGGAACTGTGTTAGGAGCTGGGCATACAGCAGACAGTAAAAACAGAAATGGCCCTTATTCTCATGGAATTTTCCAGTCCAGTCCAATTCATTCAATTATTGAATCAATTCCTAAATACAAAGTATATTGGCTCTGTTTTGCGCTGTGTGCTTGTTATTCAAGGGTTAGAAAGAGAGAGGTCACTCCCCATTACAGAAGAGAGAAATACAATCATTACAGTAACAAAGATGAGGTATAATTTAAGTGCTATCAAAATACAGAGTGGGTGGGGCATCTGAGTGGCTCAGTCGTTAATGTCTGCCTTCAGCTCAGGTCATGATCCCAGGGTCCTGGGATCGAGCCCTGCATGGGGCTCCCTGCTCAGCAGGAAGCCTGCTTCTCCCTCTCCCACTCCCTCTGCTTGTGTT